AAAAAAAAAAAAAAAAAAAAAGAAAGTAATGAGCTCCTTGTTACTGGATGTGGAGAAACAGAGAAATGATGAGCATAAGTAGGGATCCAAAAACAGGGTGAATAGATTTGGAAAGGAGGTTCAACTGCGTGATCTCTAAGATTTTTTTTTTCATCCCTAAGAATTGGTATATTTTCATTACTTAGCATCCTGACATTCCATAAACTGTTCTAAAACATTCATTCTTATGTTATGATGTTCTAGAATTATAACTGAGCTATAATTTTGAAGGGGAACACTAATTTTGATCCAATCTATATCCATCAGGATGGTTGAAATTGACTGATTATCTGGGCCAGCATGTATTCAGTTCACATAAAAACATGATAGTGTTGGCTGGGTGTGGTGGCTCAGCCTGTAATCCCAGCACTTTAGGAGGCCAAAGCTAGAGGATTGCTTGAGCCCAGGGTTTCAAGACCATCCTGGGCAACTTGGTGAGACCTTGTCTCTACAATAAATCACAAAAATTATCTGGGTGTGGTGGTGTGAGTTTGTAGTTCCAACTATTTGGAAGGCTGAGGTGGCAGGACCGCCTAAAGCCAGCAGCTCAAGACTGCAGTGGCCATGAGTGAGCCACTGCACCCCAGCCTGGGAGTCAAGAGTGAGACTCCAACTCAAAAAAAAAAAAAAAAAAAAAGAGAGAGAGAGAGAGAAAATATGACATTGTTGTTAATGTGAAAGAAAAACCCTCTAACATATGTATATACATAGTTTACATATTATACATAGTATAGATCCGAATCAAATGCACTTACAAATTATGAGGAAGTAATGCCCCAATCTACTTTTTTACTGAAACTCCTCTATATAAGCCAATTCTGCAGTATCACATTGACTGTAGTATTTGGTCTCTATGAGTACTAAATACAACTTTGTTTTACTGAATTATCAGCACTGATATAAATATGAGAAAGAAAGATGTAATCTAATATTTGGGGCAAGACACCTTAATAGTTTCGGATGTGTCTCTGACACTAGCAAGCTTTGTAACCTTGGACAAACCAGGGTTTTAGCTTCCTCAGAGAGCAAATAATGCATTGAGTTTCAAACTTTAGAGCATACGAGAATCACCTGGAAGGCTTGTTAAACTACAGATCGCTGGGTTCCACCCTCAGGATTTCTGATTCAGTTGATCTGGGGTGGGTGGGTAATTTGCATTTCTAAGTTGCCAGGTGCTGCTGATACAGCTAGTTGGAAGACTAGAAGAACAGAACAAGGGTTGGGAGGATGACAGTAATGAATTACCTATTCATTAATACTTTACAGCTGTAACAGAGGTAGTAGTCAGCACAAACATCCACAATGAAATGTAATCATCTTTTTAATCAGTTTCATATGAATTAGAAATGAAATGAATGCCCTTTTTTCTTTAGATTTCAACAAATATTTTTGACCATGAAAATGAGTTCTATAGTACTTACGTCATAGCTTGATAAATGGATTCAATCCCATAACGCATGGCAAATTCATCAACTATTTCTTGAGACGCATCATCAAAGAAAACCTTCCAGGCTTCATCCCCCTTGACTTCTGGGATTTTTACTCCACCATTAGATTTCACTTCAGTCAAGTAATGGAACAGATTCTAAAAGCAAGTGGTTTTCAATTGTTCAGTGATTCCTCAGAATAGGCCAGAAATATTTAACTATAATTTTCAATAAAATGCACTTGCATTGTCATCACTTCTAATGTTTCATTAGCATCTACAAGTAATGGAAATACCTTAGATTTTTATTCTAACTCACTTTATCTTTTATGAAAAATCTGCTTTTACTTCTGCCTGGGTCTATACATAATCAGTGATTCAAATGTTTTGCAGATACCAAGCCATTTTCAGAAGGGAATAAAAGTTTCCACATTAAACATTTGTACATGGCTAGGTGCAGTATCTCAAGCCTGTAATCCCAGCACTTTGGGAGGCCAAGATGAGAGGATTGCCTGAGCCCGCAGGCTCAAGACCAGCCTGGGCAACATGGTGAGACCTCGTCTCTACAATAAATCAAAAAATTAGCCAGGCATGTTAGCGCATGCCAGTAGTTCCGGCTACTTGGAAGGCTGAGGTGGAAGTATCATTGGAGCCCAGTAGGTTGGCACTGGGGAGGCCGTAAGTGTGCCACTACACTCCAGCCTGGGAGACGGAGTGAAACTCCACCTCAAAAAAAAAAAAAAATTCATACATGGTAGAATATTTTGTATCCATGGGTTCAGAGTAATGTACAGTTCCTTGTAATGTGATTTTGGCTATGTTAATACAGAATTTAGTTATGTAAATGGTGCTAAAGAACTTTGGCTGCAAAATTGTAAGTCAGCAGAATAAATGAAAGTTGAAAATGAATGTTTGAAAATTTTGTAATTATAACTAAATGACTATTCTCATTTCTTTTTTGCTTCAACAAGTTTAAAAACTGCTACATGGATACAGCCTAGGTAGACTGAAGGAAATTTTCTGAAGTTTCAGTTCTTTCTGGTTCTTGAATCAGTAGAAATGACTCTAAAAGGTGAAGCACCGTGCTGCTCCTCTGATCACAAATCTTCTTCGCCCACACTTTAAGGTTAGAGTCCTCCATTTTGCCAGTTCAAGTGTTTTTAAAAATTGGTCTGATAACTTGACCAACCTTTTTTGAAAGAGCACTATCACTGACCAAATTTTGGTCACAAAATTTAACCTAGTTCCTATGCTTAATTGGTGTTTAGATGATGTAAACACTGTTCCTCATTTCTTTTTTAGTAAAATAGGATGCAAATATTTACATGGATAAATTTTCATACATGTATTTAGGAAAAAATAACATACCAAAAAGCAAGGCTGTCTTTCAGGTGGTCTTTTATTTTAGGAAGCTACCTTCTCTTTTCGCTTTTGAACATAGGAAAAGGTACATTCTTCAGCTTCGCCTCATGTTTTTTGACAGGTAAGATGAGAATAATTTGCTCCAGAGAAAGTCTCCAGTGACACCTCTAACTAACCTCCCAGCTGCAAAGCATCTAATAGAAATCCAGGACTATTTATCTTCATGTGTCTACACGAAAGCACAAAAGGGAACTGGTGAGTCTGCCCTTGGATTCATGTTGGGTGATCTCTCCCTCTCTCCCAGTCAACTAGGCCCTGCCTTATGGGTGAAGAAACACATTTTGATTATCTCACGCTCATACATGTTTGTGGAAAAAGTGGTTAAAATGGAGGAGGGTTGAATACATATGAAACCCTTTGCTGTACTCAGAAAAAGGAAGAAAAAAATGACTGTGTATCAAAAGCCATTGAAATAGCATCAGCATTTTTATGCTTCTAGACATAAAAAAGGGTCCTAATTAAATCTTCAATAAAATTTGAACTCTAACTCAGAGTTCTCAAAACCAATTATATCTTAGATCGTCTCCTGAGTTACCAAAGTATTATATCTTTAATGTTTCCAAAATATTTGTCATGACTCATTTCACCATTGAACACTTTTAACTCTCTTCTTCCTCTTTGAAAGAATGGTAATTTTTTTCTACTCATGCACTGTCATTTTATACCTGCTTCATGGGCTTGTTGTAAACTCTCATTAAAGAAAGGACAAGCTCGTCTGGAGCAATGCATAGAATTTATGATACTCTAGCATACCACCTGCTGTAGAATTGAGCCAGAACTCCAGAATCAAAGCACAAACCTAATTGAGTTTTTAATCCAAATATTCTAATAATCCATAATCAAGACCATTTTATTTTCTAGGTTTTATTAATAAAACTCAATGTATTTACCTCATGTAAACACGTATATTGTATATGATATGGAGCAACTTTCTCCTCTCCTTTTATTTCCACATTGATTTTCAGTCGAATGGCCCCAGATACAGCTGACTTATCTGTCCGTTTCTCTGATAAAGCAAAAAAGTAATTGGTCAGTCATTTTCAACAATATCATATTTCTTATACAAGTTTTCAAAAGCTTTTAAAAAAAAGGCTTAAGTGTCTAAAAGCCACTTTTCTAGGTCAGATTTGATAAGCAATCATAATGATTCCCTAAGATACAATTTAAAATATGTTCCTATTGTGTCATTGTGATCGTCAAACTGTCTTGTAGATACTCTAAATAGAAAAACTTAACCAGAAAACTCTGCCATTCTAAAATAAATTTCTGTGTACTTTGTTAGTGTATACAATGAAATTAATTATTTGGCAATTAAGCAAGAAAACTGAAGTATAAAACTAAACAGGAAAGTATTTTATTTAAAAGCTACCATTGCTCAAGTTTTTTCTCTTTCTTTCTGTGCTTGAGAAGATGAGTCAAAGTTCTGGTCAACAAAAAATATTTGCCAAATAGTTTTTATTGTCAGTGACTCATAAAGACCTTCAGTCTACAACCTGTGTTTACTTATAAATTGGATTAACTGTTTATCTGAATGGAATCAATGTACAGTCAGTTTAGTCAAATAGTGTGTGTGCTTGTTCACTGATAGTAGCTTTCAGGGAAATTCCAAAAATGTGAATGTATTGGGGAGCCTAAGTTTGAAAACCGTTTCACAGGTAAACTATAAAGAGGCAAGCTGACCCATTTTACAATGAAACACAGGATTTGTGTAAAGTGACACAAAGTCAGTGCTAGAAGACATTTTAATTGGCCCTCTTTCTAAACGTAACTATATTTTTAGCCATATAAGCTATAGTTAAATCATGGAGGCTGCTTTCCTCTTGTGGAATGCCTGCTAACCTCTCATTTTTACTATTTAATAGTCATTGTGTTGCAAGATTCTTCTCTAGGAAGGATCATAAGAGTTTTTCCTACTGGCTGAGAGACAGTTAATTCTCAATAAACATTGAAGTTCTCCGCTGGGGCCAAGAGACATGCAGGTCCTGGGATCTTTTTATTACACACCTTTTTCTAGATAGAGCTCCAGGAGAGCTTTATTGGTTCTGTGATTTAACTATCATCATTTCAAAGGATCTATGAGAAGCAACCTCTGCTTGGACACCTAGGGCTTTTGGCCAAGTCTTTCTTTGTGTGGTGGAATGAATTCTAAGTGATGAGGAAGGAGGACAGTTGTACAAAGAATGAAAATAGAATGTTTGTGTAGACTGAACCTATTTAGCGACTTTATACAAAGCTAAAGAAAAAAAAGCTGTTTTTTTCCACTTTCCCTCTTTTTCTCTCTGACTCTCAAAGATTTAACATCAACAAAGAGGACTCAAAAGTACTGAGTGGCTGGGCTCAGTGGCTCAGCCTATAGTCCCGCACCTTTGGGAGGCTAAGGTGAGTGGATTGCCTGAGCCTGCGGGTTCGAGACCCACCTGGGCAGGGGAGACCTCATCTCTACAATAAATCAAAAAAAAAAAAAAAAATCAGCCAGGCGTGGTAGCGCATGCCTGTAATTCCTGCTACTCGGAAGGCTGAGGCGGAAGGATCGCTGGAGCCCAGCAGGTCGAGGCTGCAGTGGCTGGGAGCGGCCACTGCATTCCAGTCTGGGCAACAGAGTGAGACTCCAACTCAAAAAAAAAAAAAAAAAAAGTACTGAGTGAACTGGCAAAACTGTGTTGCATATTTTCATTTCATAGACTGAAGGACAGTTTAGGTGTGAGAGCTACTGGATAGCTAATTTTACTAACAGCACATTCAAGTTCTTTGGCAAACTGAATATACCCATATATGTTTTGTTAAAAGAACAAATTTGAGAAATCCCTGCCTCAACCCAAAGCCATGTTAGCTTATTACAGATAAAAGTTTCTGCATAGGTAAACCTCATTAATAAACACACAATTTGTGAATGATGCACAAAGTTAATGAATGACCTGAGTTTATCCTCAGCTAATATTTCTGTTTTCAAAATGAAATCATTTAATAATTTAAAAGAGATATGGAAGGATTCTCATCATAGCTGAGGTAAACATCCAACCTCAATAATGTAGAAATAATAATTTTCTTTAAGGAAAATTTTTAAAAGTATTTTTTGATAATGAGTTCTTCATCTAGCTTGAATCACTTGTGTCCAGATAAGTTAAATATGCCTTTCTTTAAATTATTGTAGAGTTTCATTAATTCTGTAAGAACTTCTTTATTTACTTTGTCAACTATTATATTACTTGAAATATGTAGCTTTTACAGAAAGTCAAAAGCACTTTTTAACATGTTAAAATATGTTGGTATCCTAAATGGTAACTGTGGGACTGTGTCAACCTTTCTTTGATTCATGACCAGCCAGCCCTCAAAAGTTTAATTAAAACATTTCAGAGGGAATGATTAAGAAATCTTTAGATCATGTCCTTTACAGAGACTGAAATGACCCATATCTTTTTATTAATATTAAATCAGTACTGTAGATTCAAGGCTATTAATCAATTCCAGTAGAAGTCAAATTAAAGCTTGTCTTTATTTAATTGCAGTTTCCATAATAAAACTTTCATTTAAAAAATCATGTCAATTAAACATATTTTCAATATCTTCATCATCAGAGTCAGCATAAATCCGCATATTTACTTGGATTTGCCAACTAAGCCTCATTTTATGTCATAATTTTAAAGAATTGCAAAATACATGATTCCTTTAATGCCAAAATGTCATTAATGGACAAGAAAAAATAAGTCAAATAGCATTATGCCACTGACTGTTTGTTTTCCATACATACGGCAAAGGTTTTTGAAGTTGTATTTTATGAATTAAAAATTAAGAATGAAATAACGTTTTTCTTCCAAAAACTATCCAATTGATTCTTAGAAAGGGTTTTTTCTTTTCATCTCAAATTTACCAAAATCTTTTAAGAATACTGAATTTAAATAAATTATAGCCTTTACTTACCAATTAAACTAATCATCTAAAATTCAACAGAATGCTCTAGCAAGGCATTGTTTATTTTTACTTATATGGTAATATATTACATGCCACAAATATTCTGAAATTTTATTTAATTTGTTTTCAAGTAGACACAAAGATAATCACCTAAGTTGTACCAAACATCCATTTCTCCACTCAGGGTCCTCACTTCTACAATTGTTTGTCCCAGAAAATCATCTGACTCCTTTTTGAAATGTTGCTTGACTCTGGATTTAATATCATCATCTTCATCCCAAACTCTGACTTTGATTCGATCTGTGGAGTTATGACACTCACTGAAAATAAATGTGGATAAGTTAATAACTGCTCTAAATGGCATCGATATTAGCAACTTATTTTAAGTCTATCTAATCCAGAAAAGCAAAGTACATTACATAATAAATGAGATTTCCCACTAAACCAAATTTTATTCATAGGATGTTGCAGGCGCACAGTGCAGATATACTGAAGAAAAGTTTGATTCATTAAATCTTATTAATAAGGGAAAATCCAATCTCATTGCATCCTACTTCCTGTAACTGAATGAGACGTAATCAAAGATGGGTCAGAAATCTTTGCTTGGAATATTTTACTTATGGCATACTTCCTACTTGCAATGTTTATCTTGAACAATCTATTCACACTCAGAAAATTTTTCACCATAAATAAAAAGCTAGCTTTATTGTAATGGGTATTGAGAAAATAGACTTCACAGACTATAAATGATAATGTAGTTATATGAAAGTACTTGGTAAACTAAAAATTCTAGTAAGCACATACGATATTGTCAAATACAGTAGAATTAGACTAAAATCTTTCTGATTTAAAGAATAAACTGCACATTCTAGTTCAATCTTAATTTCCAGGCTTCTTCCATCCCTTTGTTGATTCAACTCACTTGCTATTGCCCACACATAGGTATTATGGTTTTTCCTGACACTCTGACTTTTGTATACACTCTTCCCTATGCTTTCTAACTGCTAAATAACCATTCTTCAAGAATCAGCTAGCCATTTGCTCTATATCGTTTTTCCTACAGCTTGTTGAGTCAGTTAGTCATGGTCAGCCCTGAGCTCCCTATTGACTCTGTACATGCACTCCTTCTAGCACAGGGGTCCTTATTTCAGGGTTCATAGATGATTCGGAGCACTCCTGAACTTGGGTTACCAAAAGCCAATGTCATGTTGTTTTTTTTTTTCCATTTTGACTGTAGGCAATAAACCGTAGCAGTATTTTGTCATCAATAAAGTCACAGATATTTACATATAACATTATAAGTGTTATAAAACTTGAAATATTTATGCCTACTATTATTGTTCTAAAACTATATTTTAATATAATTGCTTTCCTTTTTAATTGTAAGAATTTTATTTTATATAACAGAAAAGAAAGATATTTTGAAAAGGGACCTATAGTCTTCACCAGACAAATAGGGTTTATGGTACAAAAATTATTTAATAACTAATCATATTAATCAATGAGGAAAATAATACATGAGAATAAGATTTAAGTCTGACATGCCTATGTACAAATTGTAGTGCTACTATTTCTACTTAATGGAGGGAGTTTCAACACAGACAACTTTAGCAATTTTGGGGACATTTTTGACTTTTTCAAACATCGAGGGATTCTACTGGTAAACAGTGGACTAGGCCAGAGATTTAGACATTTTACCATGTAGAGGAGGACTGCATGATTGAAAATGGACTATCAGGCATCAATAAAGATGTTAGACTCATTGGTAATTATCTCAGTTCAGAACCTCTTTTACATAAAAACACCACATCTTCTGCATGTTTTTTAAGACACTGAAATTTCCTGGAAACCAACTAGTGTGTCAATTGCTAATCAAAGAAGATATTTTGTTGTTGTTGTTGTTGTTGAGAACTTTACCAATGGTTGTTTTCCACTCTGAGACATTTCATCCCCAATGTCAAAACTACTCAAAGTATATGAAACAAAGTATTTGCACTGGTCTGCATTTCAAATAGAGACATTCATGCTAATTCTACCAACAGTGACATTCATGCTAATTCTAATTTAGTAGAAAATCTATGTCTACTAAACTATATATTCCATGGTAGTTGTATCCAAGCCCCTACAAAATAAAATATGCATTAGAAAACTTTTATTTCTCCTTTATATTACAGTTGTAATATTATGTTTATTTTCCAAATTATATTTATAAGTAGGTTAAATTATTTATTATTTTGTTTCTGTATTTAAAAAGTCATTACAAGTTATTTTATATTAAAAAATTTCATTCTTTTTGATAGGGTTGAGAACTATGAACTAGTTCTGCCTGACCTAATTTCTATAAATCTCAGTTCCTTTATATATAAAATGTGGGTAATAATACCTATCTTAAAAAGTTTATGGGAAATAGTAGGAAATATCTTAAGAGAAGTTAGCACAGTGCCAGTGTCTGACTTATATTGCTTATTATATTCCATAAGTTCTTTTTGAAGTTTGAACCTAAGTTTAGTAATGTATCTATTCTTTACAGTTTCTGGCATGTACCCTTCAATAAACAGTCACTAAAAAATCTGCAAAGCTTCACCAAAGAAAAATCCCTTTTTTTCTATTTGAAGAAAAAATAATTTGTCATGTTTAGAAATATCATATGCATCAAAAATATCTAATTTTGAGAGTTATTTTATTAACAAAGTGTGGTGTAAATTGTGAGGAGGGAGGAAAAATTAATCTATGATATTGTGTCTACAACAGCTAACGAAGCCCACTATCAACCAAGGAGAACAATCAGAATGATGACAGCACAGCTGTCTCCCATTTGTTCAGAATTCCAATGTTAACTATATAAACACACTGAAATTATTGTAGCAAGAATGTTTGGATGATAAAATCATTGGTAATTTGCCCAGAATTTGTATTAAAAATGGCTTAGATGTTAATTTCTTTGCTATCAAAAAGAAAAAGTCCAGGTTGAAACAAAAACTCAACTACTAGATTATTTGCTTTATTCTTATCTTAGAAAATGAAAGAAATTTTAGGGCAGCAAAAAAGAAAGTTATTATTACACTCAAAACATTACAAAAGCAGAAAGATATCCCTTTGTGCTACATTTTGATAATTAAATCTTCAGAGTTCATGTTAGCCCTGGGAGGCAGAGATCTAATATATTTTTTTTACCAGCAAAGAGCAGGTACAATAAATATCAAACTCAAGATAATAAAGATTTACAAACTGTTCTAGAATTTATTCCTTAACAAAATAAAATATACTATCTAATTCTGAATAAAAAATTTTTGAGACTCTAGTTTTTGTTATAAAAGGTAAGTTTTTTAAAACTGGTTAAATATATCCACAAATAGTAATTAATATAAAATAGCAATAACATATATTTATAAATAAACATACATATATATTATGTATCTTTCTACATAATTCATAAGTATATATGTACACATACACATAAGTGTGTATACATATATATTATGTAGCAAGAGCAGGGGGAGACTTTAGCTTTCCAAGTTTCTGTTTAATGTAAAAATAAAACACGTGATATTAATGCATGAAGGACAAATATAAATAGCCAGTGATGCTGTTCCTATAAATATACTTGCAATTTTGTGCAAGAGCATTCTCATTGATTCTGTTTATTTTTTAATTAAATGAACTTCTAATTTTAGAATAATTTTAGACTTACAGAAAAGTTACAGTTATAGCACAGCAAATTCCTGTATGCCCTGAATCAGAATTATTTATTATTAACATCTCACAGTACTAGTATTTATCACAATTAACATTGATTCCACTTTTTTCCCCAATATAAAGACAGGCCAGCTCCTACATTCTTTCTTTTCCAAAGAGCTATTTTTGAGAAATATTAAAAAATAAAGTTTGTCATTTATGTTTCAGGTTTAAACTGTCAGAAGTTTGTATGTTTATTTCCACAGAGTAAACACAGCAGTGGGGCTGCTTGTTCAAATACTGGAAATAAAATGTGGGTTTTGTAGTAGGTATAGAATGAGAACTTTAACATGCTGTGGTTAATTATCACATATGGCCCTCCAGCCTCTCTGAGCATTCTGCTTCCACTTTGACTATATCGCATCCCATGTTCCTCGTCTTCTCAAGACTGAAGCTAGATAACCCATATTCCTAGGCTCCTTTGTAGCTATGTTCAAGACATTTTTCCTGCAAACAAGTTGTGAACTCAGAATTAAGCCAAGTGATGCAGTGGCCATTTATTTTCTGGGAAACTGGTATTTCAGCAACGATGGATGCTACAGTACTTTGATATTGGGTTTCTGGTATTTAGTCCTTAAGGGCAAAAATATTGATTGAGGTTTTCTGCAAGGAAACCTCACCATACAATTTGACATTGTTCCTGCACAGTAGCTTCAGAGGCTGACATTTTGACCTCTCCAACAATTCTTCAGGGACCTATTAGTCTATGAAATAATCTTTCTCTACAGAGTAACCAAAATGGATTATATTGTTTGAAACTAAGAATACTGACTAATGTAATAATTTTTAAAGCACTAAGGAAGCTACAAGTAGCAGAACCCTAAAAATTTAGAACTGATTCTGGGAGGAGATAGTGAGACCGACACTGAAGAGTTAATCACCTCAGACTGGAAAGCCAAAGTTACTGGATATGAAATAGCAAAACACCTGGCCAAACTGTTGCTTGCTATACTTATAAATCCTGACCATATGCCAACCAAGATTTTTAACAAAAATTATTAGTGGGAATAGTAGGAATGAAATTTCAGAATGTTAGCATATGCTTACCAAATCTTGCCACTTTTAAAAATATACTACAATAGAGATGCTTTCAAACTAGAGCTAGACAGTCTGTAAGCAGACACTAGGGAACACAGTCATGCCGAAAGAGGTTCACTCGCCAGTGTCCTGCAGTGTAAAGTGACTGAGAATATCATAATTTGGAACCCTGCAGGGTTGAGAAAAGCCAGCTGCTTCTGAGTCCAAAGATGTACCTGTACAAGCAGAAGTTTCTATGTGCAATTTCAAAAAGAGTTAAAATTGTTGCCGTGGGGCTTTTCTAGCACCATTCTGTAAGAGGTCTCTGAGTGACAATGAGGGGGAGCGTAGTGGCAAAAACCAGATAAAAAGTTTTGCATTCTCACCCTGGCATAATATTATTCTGGATCTGAGACTGCAATGATTAGGTTAAGGGAGAAAAACTGATCAGAACAGAAGAGCAAAGAGCTGAGAGTTAAAATTTCCAGGCTTATGTGGTTACTTGCTCATAAAATTATCTTAAAGCGTATCTCCTGAAAGCCTGGTAAATTTTTCAGGCAATAGTATT